GTTTTTAAATTATGCATAAAGCAATTGCATTTATTCTACAATATAAAATATAAGTGAGGTGTTTCATTTCAGCTGATCCGTTGAAATTATTCTATAACACAATTGTTGATTTTTAACAGTGTAATTTTTTTTGTAATTTTTTGGAATGATTATATTAATGCTAAAAATTCTACTACTGAATAAAAAAAAAATATTTCAACCATATTTCCGTAAAAGGGACTGCTGTTTTAGCTACTATTGTGAAAACATTTTTCAATTCAGATTATTGTAACTTGTCTTTTTTTGTATTACACAGGACATTGTTTTCAAAAGTTGCTACGATGCATTTGAACTCATCAACACCAGGGTTCAACAAACTTCAGAACTTTAAAAAAGGTTCGTTCATTCCCATTTTTGTAGTCTACCCACGCATCTAATCGTCGCAATTACCGAGTTACCTCTAAAGTGAGGAAGTGCAGCCGATTATGACCAGTATATTATCGACATCCTTGCATTCCTCTCACTATATCAATATATTTGCCCTCACATGTTGATAAAAACTCAGTTGATACAAGGCTAAGAATGTGAAAAAATCACGTGGGAAAACATCTCGCTCCAGATAACCAAACCCGCCTAAAACACTCCGCTTTCTACACACTTTTTCCACACGAAAAATTGGCGACCACGACCAACATTGCCTTAATTAGACATCAATTAACTCGATTTTAAAACCAAGTACCACAACTAGTTCACAACATCCTGTATGTCACCACCTAAAATCTAACCCATGAAGCACTTTGCTAGAAAGTACCTGCACAAAACCCGATATCGATCTCCACATCGTCCTTTTTCCCAATAACATTCCAGAGCAAGAAAAAATGGCGCCGCCACTGATACCAAAAGCTGCGTTCACGCCATGCAAGATTCATGCTTTACCTTGTCAAGTACGCATTTATCCCTAAGAATTCGGCCACAGGCGGAATGGGATTTTTAATACAGACCGCAACCGTATAATTACGTTACCATTACTTCAAGGACGGTTTTTACGTTGGCTGAGATTACAGATGATATCCTGCAGGACAAAAAGCGTAATTTGCATGTTCATTCAAGAGTTCCGTCGTAATGAGATGCTCTATATTTTCCCTCAATTACCCGCAGTGTCATTATTTTATTTTTGTTCTTCCTTGTTCTTGCCAACCGCGAATTATATTCATTGCTTTGACGTGGAATGTCAGCACGACACGAACTAATGATTGAAAGATTAGACTTATTATTTTAAAAAGTCGAGATCCGATTTGTTACGTAAAAAATATATTTATAAGATTTGTTTTTGCATTAACTACATAATCACCTGATTATTGACATCATCAAAGAAAGTAAAAAGCGACGGCAAGGTTAAAGCCCTGATGGGAACCAGTAAATGCAACAGCTTTTTTGTTACACGTCAAGGTCAAATCTGGTTACTAAATAATTAAAGTTGCGGTGTTACGTTGGTTCCAATGGCAGCGGTAATTTCATCAATGTAAATAAATGGACAAATGTTTGATAATATAATTTTCTCTGATTGTATGGATAACAGACTGCAACAAACAATATGAATAGCTCTAAAGCTGATCACACACTTGAATACACACAATTTCGCTCACTAATTGTCAACTTCCCGCATTGCCAACGTAACAAGCTTTCGATGGCTTGGTATCGCAGTTCCATTTTTTCTATGTTTATTACGTTAGTTGGAAACAATAAATTAAGCTATTTTCCACATTATATAGGGGATTATAAAAGGTCGTACATCATTTTGACTTTGGAAAATCTGTCGCTTTTAATTGTATCCATCGGATATTAATACAAAAAAAAAAAGTTTTTCATGGTGGTCATTTCTTCCAGAGGTGGAAGAGAGACCTACTTTAGATTCTTAAAACACAGCCAAGCACTTGAAATAAATGCATGTGCTTTCGACGTTACATGAACTCAAGAGTACGAAAAAAATAGGTCTCCCATTTCTATATGTATGTTTGTCGTCTGTCAAATTTATTAGATAGACAGACCATTTCCGAAACTACTGGACCAATTGTTGTCAAACTTTATATGTATGTTAAAAATATCGTCTGGACGGTAAAACGCTACCTAAAATTTGTTTAATTATCCCCACCAAAAATTTGCTTAAAATTTTGCATGACATATTTTTATATTTTGTAAAATAACACACCCTTGTACTTGTAGTTCATGAATCAGCTTTGAGTTCTTCCCTAGACATCCAGATTTTCGCAAAAAAATGAAAATTGTATAGTGGTTAGAGCTTCTGTTTGTTAACACGAAAGTCGCGGGTTCGATTACCTTGGGGGCCATTTTTTCTTACACTATGACTGGGAGGATCTATATTTTGTAACTTATAGAGGTTATCGTACAAAAAATTGCCGACTCAAATTTGATATAATTTTTCGAATAAGCGAGATATGTTGGAATGTAGTTCAGGGGCGATAGAAGTTCTGTCTAAATAACCTTATTCTATTTTTTTCCTAATAACTGTTTTATATCAGGTGATTTTTTAAATTTCTGCTCTAGTTAACCATCACGCTTACGTCAGCCGTTTCAATTGCACTGCTGCCGTACGCGAAATGACCAACTAGATCAGAAATTTCATAAATCACTATTAAAGATTTTTTTCCAGAAATATAAAATAGTCTAAATGCCCAGTGAAAGTGATTAGTTAAAGTTTCGTTAATTAACATCCATTTGCGTGAAATTGGGGCAGTAGTATGTACCACTCAAAACTTATCAGACAGAACCAACTCTAATTCAATGTATTTTCGATTATTAGATTTGGTATTCTATAGATATTAAATAATAGGTAATCAACACTACAGATGAGTTAAAAATATTTTAATTGATCGAACACTTCGTGTTTCAATTCATAGTACCTTTTATTAATTCATTTATTTTAAACTCAGCGGAATTGTTATTTTGATGTGATGATTTCATTTGAAGTATGTATTTGATTCCCTTCAAATGTCACGAAAAAAGTGGTCTTCCGTTTCCGTCTGTGTGTCTGTCTTGCCTGTCGTCTGCGTCGATTTTATTAGATAGATAATCTCCGAAACTACTGGACCTACTGGTATCAAATTTTGTAAGTATACTAGGAATATCATGTAGATGGCAAAACGCCAAGTCCCAAATTTATAATAGTAAATTTTATTTAAATTCTATAAAATAAGATATTCCTGTACTTGTGGTTTATGAATCCGTGACGAGTTTTTACCTTACACATCCAAATTTTTCGAAAAAAAATCAGAACTGTATAACATTTGTTTTAAGTTTATCATAGGTATGATAATGTTAATCAAAATTTATCCGTTTATCCACTCCCAAAAAATTCTGTAGAATAAATTCTATTACAAAACATCAAGACCCGATTTATAGAAAGCGAAGTTAAAGTTAATTCGCGGATAACTTTTAATTGAGGTCCGTTGCGAGGCAACGCGCATATTTTTACCAATCACGGGCTCATATTCCACATTTTATTTCTCTGTTAAACTAATCGAGAATTAAATATTTAACTCGCTGTTCTATAAATCGGCCCTTAGTGTTTAATTGAAAAAGTCAACGTGAGTTGGCTTTGACTTTTTGTAAAGATTGTGAAGGATGGCTACAATAAACATAAACCCAAAATTTGATCGACTACAGGTAACCACTAGGAATGGTATAACTTATTAGATAGATATAACAATATTAACGATGTTCAACAACCCTATGGATTAATAAAACACATGCGTTTTTCGCTACGTTTTCTTCTATACAAGAAACAACGCCAACTTGATGACTTTTTCAAATGAACACCCGTTACATCTTTTCCAAATGCAATTTTTTATGTACAGGTGTTTTTTACTGATTGGAAAATAAATTTGGCAAAGCAGGGTAATTCTGGAACATACTAAACCTGATCGTACTACTGCCAAGTTTCGCTAGAAATGAATACAACTTATTTTTAAACACCAGTACTCTTTATTTTCTGGTACTTTTTGAAAACTTGCATGCACATAATCAGTAATAAGAACGTAATAACACTAAATAACAGTACTGAAATATTTTTAAAATTTTTCCATTTTCTGGATGCTATACACAAGTGGATGCCATCCAAAGCTGTTAAAATTTATTCTGACAATGTACAGAATTTGTACACTGATGGTTAGATTACGATACTATTAGCTAGATATTTATAGAATGATGAGAACGAGGAGTTCAAACTGATGATGTCGCTTCGGACGAAACCGGTCACACAAGCAAGTAAAAAAAAACTTGCTATAAGTTGTCTACCCCATTATTCCACAATTCTATAAAAGCCAGTTCTAAAGGAACAAAAAATCACGCCTCCCATTTCACACTTTATAAACATAAATTGTCAGCTGTACGTACAAGGCTCCCAGAAATTAATGGTGTACTTGTTAGAAGTAACTCAAAAAGGTGAGCTCATAAGAATTTTTTATTACGTAATATATAATAGCCGCCATTTAGTGTTCCATAAGAACCTTCCGTTACTCTAAACGTCACCACCTGACTAAAGCTGTAAGTTTTTAATTATCCAAAACACCTCTGTCTTGATTATACGAATTATTAACTTTTTTTAAGCCAGAGCTTAAAAAAGTAGTTGGAATTTACTACAGTCGGACCTCAAGTTGCACTTCCAAAATTGTGGCAGCAGTGGGATCATCATGTAAATCTGGATCGATAGCTAACTTTTCCAACGACTTTATATCACAATAAATCGAACTTGAATAATAAATAATTCAATTTCATGCAGTTTACGTTGTGTGAACAAAGCATGAAATTTGTTTATGCATGGTTCTACAGTGTTTCTCAGTTGCTCAGAAAGCAACCAAAGTTCCTTGAACTTAACAGTTTTCTGCAAGTGCCAGAGGGAATTCTGGCAGAATTCTCACCTTGTGTTTTAACAAAAATACATACACAAATGAGTTCGACTTATCGAAGTTCGACTGTATAAACCAATTTATCAATGAGATTACCTCTGGGTACTCCAGGTGGGTCAGACGGTGCCAGAAACCCCGCATCCTCCGAAGACGCATATCCTGCCGACCCAAACGAGCTCCCCGAATGGCGGAATTCGTGCGGTACCGCAGGCGGGGCGACCTTCTTGGCGGTAGCCGCCGGCTTTGGTGGCCGGGACATGCCGCCTACTGAAAACAAAAGATCAAAGTTAGGGAACCATCAACACCAAACAAGTCAATAACACCATTTTTTACAACACCAGCGAACAATGTCATTTGCATATCAACAAACCCACCTGATACTATTATATAGTAGATTTTTACAAACGTTTACGGTTGCCTTTGAAGAAAAAAATGTGAACGCATAATTGATTAAGTCACTTTCGCCGTAGGAATAGCAAGGAGTAAAAAAAACGGCACAAAAACAAACGGCGCCGTATTTCTATACAGGTGGGCGATGATTAGATTATGACATAGAATTTATTGACCAGAAACCTCTTTGTGTTTTTGTACTAGTGGATGAGTGAAAGGCAAATAAATCTGGGCTGTGTGACAACAGTTCTGGCGCCTCTAATGAGTGCCGTATTGTGCCATTAATCGAATTTGAGACCGTTATGGACCAGCCGGGAAGGTGAGCATCCGAAATTTCATTCGGCGGCAACAAAAACCCATTATCTCATTGCGTAACGGTACGCACACGTAACGTAACAGTTTTATTGGAGTGGCTTTTACAATTACGTATATTGTGTGTATGATTCGAAAATTGCTGTAACAAAGCAAACAGATTTTTTTTACAAAACAACGACGTGTTTGTGAAGGTTTTTCGAATATTTGATATCGTTTTAGGATTGTTGTTATTTGTTTTTGGAAACCTGTACCTGTCAAACTGTTACGACATTTTGCCTGCTGAGTTAAGTGCTTTACTTAAAGGTCGTTTGCAAATACCACTGATGCTAATGAAGAATGACTTTGAAGTTTTTAAAAACGGCCTTTGCCTACACATGTTCTCTAGTTAGCTCAGACAATAACAACATCAGAAGCAATTATCAAAAGCTCTTCAGATGTAAGTGGTTGATAACGTGTTAAAATCTTTGATGTTACGTAACAATGCCAAATGTTTTATGGTTGTACATGGTGACAAAATACTTTGACAAGGTCAGTGTTTTTAATAAACTGAAAGTTCTAGATGTGTTGCTCCAAGTGTTGTTGCTGACCTAGGATTTTCACTTATTGAGCGTAGGCTAAGGAAGTATAGCAATCAAATCCATCGGGCGACTGGATGCTTTCAAGTTGTCTCGATGTTTCATGATCATTAGAGTACGAAAAAATGGATCTCCCGTTTCCGTCTGTTCGCATTTTCTTTTTTTTTTTTTTATTAGACAGAATCTCTGAAGCTACCGGACCGATTGTCGTCAAAATTTTGTGTGTATAATTATTAGGAATAATATCTATCAGGTTACAAATTTGACAATTGTAAATTTTATTTAAATCTTATAAAACAACTTACTTTCCGTTTGTGGCTTATGAATCCATGTGTAATTTTACCCTAATCATCCAGATTTTCGATTCTTGAAATTTTCGATTGCTCGATTTTTCATTTTTCGATTTTTCAATTTTTCGATTTTACAAATGTTTCATTTTTCCATTTCTTGATTTCTCGACTTCTCAATTTGGTAAATTATTATCGATTTTTTGATTCTCGATTTTTTCAATTTTAGATTTTTCAATTTTTCGAAATTTCAGTTTTAGGATTTTTCAAATATTTCGATTCTATTTTTCGAGTTATTTCCTTTTTTAATTTTTAAATTTATATTGTTTTGAATTTTTTGATGTTTCGATTTCCCGATTTGTTAATTTTTCAATTTCTCGATCTTTAGATTTAAATATTTTTGATTTTTCAGTTTTTCAGTTATCAAATTTTTCGATTTTTCCTTATCATATTTGAAAATTTCGATTTTCGGTTATTTCGGTTGCCCCATTTTACGACTTCTGACTTTTCGACTTTTAGATGTTTCGATTTCTCACCATTTTAGTTTTTTAATTTTTAATTTTCCTATTTTTGGATGTTCCGATTTTTCAATTTCCCAATGTTTTTTTCGATTTCTGGATTTTCCTATTTTTCAACTTTTTGATTTTTTGATGTCTAAATCGGTTTATTTTTTCAAATTTTAATTTTCAATTTTTTCAATTCCAGATTTTTCAATTTCTCGATTTCTCTATTTTTGCGATTTTTTATGCTTTGTATTTTTCAATTCTACGATTTTTTATTTGATTTCTTGACATCTCGCTTTTCTAATTTTTCAAATTTTTGGATTTTTAAATTCTTCGTTTTTTCAAATTTTCTATTTTGAACATTTTTCATTTTCTGGAGTTTTCAAGTTTTCGATACTTTCATTTTTCGTTTTTGGATTCATCGATTGTTCAGCTTCTCAACTTTTAGATCTTGGCCTGTTTCGATTTCTCAATTTTTTAGATTTTTCAACATTTCGTATTTTCGATTTCTTGATCTCTGTTTCTCACTTTGTCGATATGTATTTCGATTTTCCAATTTTTCAATGTTCCGATTTTTCAGTTTTTCGATTTCCCAATTTATCGTCATTTCAGTTTTGGAATTTTTCGATTTCCCGTTTTTCTGATCGGCTTTTCGAGTTTGGGCTGTTTTAATTTCTCAATTTTTCGATTTTTCGACTTCTCGACTTTTCGATCTTCTGATGTTTTGGTTTCTTGATATTTCAATTTTTCAATTTTTCCAGGTTTCGGTTTTTCGGTTTTCCAATTTTTAGAATCACAATTTCACCAGTATTAAATTCTTAATTTTTCAATCTTTCGATTTTTAGATTTATCGTTTTTTCAAGTTTTCTATTCCCAATTTTTCAACATTTCAATTTTGGAAAATTTGTAATTTCTGGATTTTTCAAATTTTTTATTTTTTGATGTTTCGATTACTTGATCTTTCGATTTTCCGGTTTTTCTTTAATTTTTAATTTTTCGATTTTGAGTTTTCGATTTCTTAATTTTCGATTTTTTCTTAATTTTCGATTTTTCGACATTTCGATTTTTCAATCTCTCGATCTTTTCATATTTTGATTTCTTTCAATTTCACTTTTATCTCTCTCCGTCTTACGATTTTTTGACTTTTGGCCTTTTCGATTTTCCAATTTTTCGATGTTCCGATTTATCGTTATTTTGGTTTTGGAATTTTTGTGTTTTCGATTTTTTGATTATTCGACTCTTCGGCTTTTCGAGTTTGGGTTGAATTGATTTCTCAATTTTTCGACATCTCGATTTCTCGATCTTTTAATGTTTAGATTTCTTGATATTTCAGTTTTTTAATTTTTCGATTTCTCAATTTTCAATTTTTCGTCATTTCGTTTTTCCAGTTTTTAGATGTTCCGATTTTTCGATTTTTTCAATTTCCTAGTTTTTCGATTTTTCGACTTTTCGATTTTGGGGTGTTTCTAATTGTTGATTTTTTAACTTTTCAACTTTTAGATTTCTTGATCTTTTGATGTTTCGATTTTTGATTTCTCCGTTTTTAGATTTTTCGGATTTTAAAAATATTTCGACTTTCAAATTTTTCGATTTCTCGTTTTTTCAAGTTTTCAATTTCTCAAAATGTTCAACATTTCAGTTTTGGGAATTTTTCAATTTCTGAATTTTTCAATTTTGCGATATTTTAATTTTTCGATGTTTCGATTGCTCGATTCATCAATTTTTCAACTTTTGGATCCCCGCTTCTAATTTTTCAATTTTTCGAGTTTAAAAATTTTTTGATTTCTCAATTTTTCGATATTTCGAAAAACATTTTTTCCGATTGGTTAGTTATTGCTTTATTTCACATTAATTCTTTGTGTTTTCTTTACTTCAATTTTTCTTTGAAACCGTTCTTTTTTTTCTCCATGATTTCACTAAACAAAATAAACTAGAATAAAGTTGTCCAACTCGTTTCGTTTAATGAACATCGTCAGGGCACAATTGGAATAACATTGGATATACGTTGACATATTAAAATAAAGAGAAAAATATAATAATTCATGGGATCATAGAACCAGCAAATACTTTGCAAAAGATTGATGTACAGACCGCTTTCGTTCGATACTACCAGATAATAGATTGGATCATTTATCGTTTATAACAAAATGGTAACATTCTCACATACTTCTCCAAGAAAATCTCTCTTCTGAAAGAACCGAAAAAGCGGCTCATCTCTTAAATTTTGGATCCAACTGCCAATAAACCTCGTAACTGTCAGCAAACAGATAAAACACATTTATTGCCGTTTTTGGCGATCTCGCTCGACGAGTTTCTGGCTTACCCTTCACCCGGCCAGAAACTCAAACATGTCAAATAAGCAGCAACTACCTAAATTACACTTTCACAACATGCCCTGCTTGCCAAAACATCCGATGCTCCATTCTATCGCGGCTTCCGAAGTTTCCGGTGCTGAAACGCGCGATTCCGTTCACTGTTAATTTTGGAATTATGCAAACGATCACCGACATCATCGAATCAGGGACGTGTTTTCCTCCCGAACCAGATTGTCACATGAATATGGAAATGTACAAGCATTACACGTCTCCCAAGAAGAGCATCCCTGTTAGAACTGCTTGTGGCAGCAATTGAATCCGAATGGAAAGTGAACGTGAACGATGATGACAGTCTGCAACGCCCGAACATTAGCATATCTAATTGACTCCAACAACGGACTCTCGCTAATACACATCAGGTGCTTTTTGCAGTTTACGAGCGTGTTTTTCGAGATCTTTGCTCGTTGAACAAGCGGACATAATTACTTCGTCCTGGGGCCGCGTAATTGATTGGACCACACCAAAGGTTTCGTTTGTACGCTACAATAATTGAATTTATTGGTTTCATTGTGTGGAAGACGGGAGAGTCGATTATTATTGCCAGCTGAAATTTGTTAGAGTGATGGGCAACCCTTCCCCTAGACCTCGGTTCCATTGCCAGATTACTTCTACTTGTGAAGTAATCAATGGATTGCCGGATGATAAATTATCGTTATAGTGGCAGGGTTTGTGGTGGGACTGATACATTGAGGACGCGCTTAAAGTTCGGCGATTGTTTTATCAAAGTCGCACCTCTGGAAACCTCCGAACTTTGGTGAATGGCGGGATGGAAAGAGAAAATGCCTACGCGCTTGTGGGAGACAAATGGTAAAAACCCATTCC